AAAAAATATTTCAAATAAAAAAATCCAGTGGTGCACCTCAAGGAACTAGAAAAAAAAAAGCAACGAAATTCAAAGTTAGCAGAAGGAGGGAAATAATAAAGATGAGCATCAATAGATGAAATAGAGAACTAAAAATTTTTTAAAGTCAATGAAACTAAGAATTGGTTTTTTGAACAGACCAACAAAATTGGTAAACCCTTAGCTAAACTGAGAAAAAAAAGACTCAAATAAATAAAATTAGAAAAGTGGAGACTTTACTGATACCACAGAAATTCAAAGGATTATATGAGACTACTATAAATAAGCATATGCCAAAATATTGGACAACCATGAAGAAACAGCTAATATCTTAGAAACATGAAACTTACCAAGTATGAATTATGTAGAAATAAAAAAATTGAACAAATGAATAATAAGTAAGCAAATGGAATCAGTCATCATAAACCTCTCAAGAAAGGAAAGCCCAGGATCAGTTGACTTCATGGGTTCATTCTGCCAGAACATTAAGGAAGAATTGAAACCAATCCTTCCCAAACCCTTACAAAAAACTGAAGAGAAAGGAATACTTACAGCCTCACTTTATGAGGCCAGAATTATCTTGATACCAAAGCCACACAAAGACATTGCAGAAAAAAAAAGAAGAAAACTACAGACGATATTCCTGATGAATATAAAAGCAAAAATCCTGAACGAAGTACTAACAAACTGAATTCAATGGCACATTAAAAGTATTCCATACAACATGACCAAGTGAAATTTATCCTAGGATGCCAGATGGTTCAAAATATAAAAATCAATCAATGTGATACAACACATTAACAGAAAGAAGGATAAAAATTACATTATTGCTGGGTGTAGTGGCTCATGTCTGTAATCCCAGCACTTTGGGAGGCTAAGGCAGGTGGATTGCTTGAGCCCAGGAGTTTGACATGAGCTTGGGCAACAAGGAAAAACCCCATCTCTACAAAAATACAAAAATTAGCTGGGTGTGATGGTGCATGCTTGTAGTCCCAGTTACTTAGAAGGCTGAGGCAGGTGGATCAATTGAGCCCAGGAGGTAGAGGCTGAAGTGAACCATGGCTGCACCACTGCACTCCAGCCTGGGCAACAGAGCAAGACTCTATCTCAATTTTTAAAAAAATTACATGAGCATCTCAATAAATACAGCAAAATATTTGACAAAATTCAACACCCTTTCATGATAAACACACTCAATAAATTAAGTATAGAAATTATCTCAACATAGTGAAGTCCACATATAAAAATCCCACAACTAACATCAAACTCAATGGTAAAAATACTGAAAGCTTTTCCTCTAAGATCCTTGTTCTTAGATCCTCTAAGAAAAAGGCAAGGATGCCCACTTCGCCAATTCTATTTAACATAACACCAGAAGTCCTAGCCAGAGAAATTAGGCAAGAAAAGAAAATAACAGGCATCCAAATTAGGAAAGAAGAAATAAAACTATCTTTGTTTACAGATGAGGTGATCTTATATGTAGAAAGCCCTAAAGGTTTTCTTTTAAAAGAAAAAAAAAACTGTTAAAACTAATAAATTAATTTATTAAAGTCACAGCATACAAAATCAATAGCAAAACTCAGTTGTGTCCTCATGTGTTAACAACAAAATACCTAAAAAGGAAATTAAGAAACAATCGAATTTACAATAGCATCAAAAAATGAAATGCTCAGGAATAAACTTAACTGAGGAGAAAAAATGTATACATTGAAAACTACAAAACATTGCTGAAAGAAATTAAAGAAGAAAAAGAAATAAATAACAAGACATCTATGTTCATGGATTGGAAGACTTAATATTGTCAAAATGTCCCCATTACCCAAAGCAATCTACAGATTCTATTCAATTCCTAACAAAATCCTGTTGGCATTTTTTGCAGAAATAACAAAAACAATCTCAAAATTCATGATTGCTCAGCATGTTGGCTCACAGTCTTGCTCACATGGTAGCTTCAAACCACTCTGAAACCACAAAGGACTCTGAATAGCCAAAATAGTCTTAAGGAAAAAGAACAAAGCTGGAAGTATTTCACTTTCTGATTTCAAAACATATTAGAAAGTTACAGTAATTAAAACAGTGTGGAACTGGAACTGTCATACGGACAGCCATGGAAACTAATGGAAGAGATTAGAGAGCCCAGAAATAAATACACCTATGGTCAGGCATGGTGGCTCATACCCGTAATCTCAGCACTTTGGGAGGCCAAGGTGGGAGGATCACCTGAGGTCAGCAGTTCAAGATCAGTCTGACCAATATGGTGAAATCCTGTCTCTACTAAAAATACAAATATTAGCCGGGTGTGGTGATGGGTGGCCGTAGTCCTAGCTACTCGGGAAGCTGAGACAGGAGAATTGCTTGAACCTGGGAGGCGGAGGTTGCGGTGAGCTGAGATCATGCCACTGCACTCCAGACTGGGCAACAGAGTGAGACTCTGTCTCAAAAAAAAAAATTCACCTGTATATGGCCAGTAGGTCTTTGACAAGAGTACCAAGAATACACAATAAAGAAAAGATAGTCTCTTCAACAAATGGTGTTGGAAAAACTGGATATTCATATGCAAAAGAATACATTGGACCCTTATTTTATACCACATGCAAAAATCAACTCAAAATGGCTTAAAGACTAAACATAAGTCCTGGAACTATAATATTCCTAGAAGAATGCATAGGGAAAGAGCTTCATTATATTGGCCTTGGCAAGCATTTCTTAAATATGACATCAAAAGCACAGGCAACAAAAGCAAAAATAGTTAAGTGGAATTACATCAAACAAAAGAGCTTTGCATAGCAAAGGAAACAACAGAGTGAAAAGCAACCTACAGACAGGGATAAATATTTAGAAAGCATACATCTGATAAGGGATTAGTATCTAAAGTGAGTGTGTGTGTGTATATATACATGTGTGTGTGGATGTGTGTGTGTGTGTATGTGTGTGGCTATTGAGTTGTAGGAGTTCCTACAAAATACATTCTCCAGTATATTTTGTAGGAACTCCTACAACTCAATAGCAAAAAGAGCAAACAACCCAATTAAAAAATGCCCTGAGAACCTGAACAGACATTTGTACAAAGACATACAAATGGCAACAGGTATATGAAACGGTGCTCAGTATCATTAAGCATCAGAAAAATGCAGATCAAAATCACAATGACATATCACTTCACACCTGTTAGAATGGTCATTATTTAAAAAAAAACAAAAACAAACAAAAACAGCAAATAACAAGTTTTGGTGAAGTGGTGAAGAAATTGTAACCCTATGCACGGTAAAATAGCGCTGCTGCTTAAAAAATTGTATGGAGGCTCCTCAGAAAATTAAAAAAGAACTATCATATGATCCAGCAATTCCACTTCTGAATATTTATTCAAATGAGTTAAAATCAGTATCTTGATAAGATATTTACACTTCCATGTTCACTGTGGCATTACTTACTCTATTCAAGATGTGCAGCCAGGTGCAGTGGTTCATGCCTATAATCCCAGCTCTTGGGAGGCCAAGTCAGGAGGGACACTTGAGCCCAAGAGTTGGAGACCAGTTGGGCACCAAGGCACAACCCCATCTCTACAATAAATATTTTTATAAGTTAGCCAGGTGTGGTTGGCATGTGCCGGTAGTCCTAGCTACTCAGGAGGCTGAAGCAGGAGGATTCCCTGAGCCCAGGAGTTTCAGGTTGCAGTGAGCTACGGTCATGCCATTGCACTTTAGCCCGGGTGACAGAGAAAGATCCTGTCTCAAAAAGAAAAAGAACACGTAGAATCAACTGTTGTGGGAAGTCAGGGACCCCGAACGGAAGGACGGACTGAAGCCGCAGCAGAAGAACATAAATTGTGAAGATTTCATGGACACTTATCACTTCCCCAATGAATATCCTTGTGTTTTCCTATGCCTGTCTTTACTTTAATCTCTTAATCCCATCATCTCCTTTGTAAACTGAGGAGGATGAGTGTCACCTCAGGACCCTGTGATTGTATCAACTGCACAAATTGTTTGTAGAGCATGTGTGTTTGAACAACATGAAATTTGGGCATCTTAAAAAAGAACAGGATAACAGCGATGTTCAGGAAACAAGAGAGGTAACTTTGAACTGGCCTCCGCTGAGCTGGATGGAACAGAGCTATATTTCTCCTCTTTCATAAGCAAATAGGAGAAATATCGCTGAATTCTTTTTCTCAGCAAGGAACATCCCTGAGAAAGAGAATGCGCCCTGAAGGTAGGCTTACAGATGGCCCCTTTTTAAGGCATCCTGTCTTTTATGGTCGAAGCCGAAGGGATGAATAAGCCCGGGTCTCCTATAGTGCTCCCAGGCTTATTAGGATGAAAAAATTCCCGCCTAATAAATTATGGTCAGACAGGTTATCTGTTCTCAAACCCTGTTTCCTGGTAAGACAATGGGTGCCCGAAACTTCATTAGCAATTTTAATTTCTCCTCATCCAGTGGTCCTGTGATCTCCCCCTGCCTCCACTTGCTTTGTGATATTGTATTACCTTGTGAAGTATGTGATCTCTGTGACCCACACCCTATTCATGCACTCCCTCCCCTTTTGAAAATCGCTAATAAAAACTTGCTGGTTTTATGGTTCGGGGAATCTTCCACACTCAATGCAACTGGAATGGAGATTAGAGGAAAAGAATCATTTCATAGTTTCCCTACATGGCTGATATACTCTCTGACTGACCTCTTGATTCTTCCCTTAGCCTCAGCCCCCAGTGACCTACCCACCTCCCAGTTCCTCACTCCTAGGATCTCTTCTCTGAAGAAGGCAGCAACCTGGGGCAGTGTCTCATCAGGACAGCTCAACCTAATTGCTTCCCCTTACCCTATAGGCTCCATAAAATAGTGGAAAAGTAGACTTGCCTTTCTCTCTCTCTCCCTCTCTCTTCTCTTTCTCTCTCTGTCTGCAGCCTCTTGAGCAGCTCCAGTACTCCCTCCTACCTCCCACTTCCATGACTTCGAAGCAACTGTCATTGACATTCTCCCTACAACCCCTGGCCTCAGACAAAAAGGATGCATTTCAAGCTCTTGCAATAACTTGCAGAGCTCCATCCCTGTGTCCTCAGAAATGACCCTGAGTTTCAGCAGCTCAAAAAGACTCCAGTTGGATAGTGAGAAGCCACTGCTTCCTTGCAAGAACCTTCCCAAATTTCTCTAAGTGATTTTCTCGGTGTCTTCTCCTACCTACCCTGGAATAATGGCAACACCTGCATAGGGAAGAAAAAAGACCAAAGCACTCCTTACTTCTATAAATTGCCTTTCTTTAATACATTATCTTAAATTTCTGCTTTTCTGTTTATATAGATTGGATGGTAAGGGTGGTGGCGGCGGGGGGTGGATGTCCACAGACTAATTTAGCCACTTCTTAGCAAGCCCTTTGATTTTCTGTCTCTCTTGAAAATGTGCAGGTACTTTATAATCTATTATTCTCATCTTCCAGGCTTCAGTCAAAATACCACAAAAACAGGAAATTCCCACTGAATATTCAATTAACATATTTATATAGTGATTAGGATAATATATTTAATTTTTTCATATACATGCTGTTACTCTGACATTTATCTTCATTTAGGCAGCAGCTAGCTAGTTCTATGTCTCCAGAAGAGGATAATGCAGAAAAATATACAAGATTATTTTTAAAAAATCAATTTTTTGGCTTTTGGTGTTCAATAACAAATGCCCAAGTGTAAGGCAAAAAACTGGGGAGAATAAATGACCAGATAGGGCCATGCTGATGATCCAAGAAACAAACAAAAAGTGACAGGTAGAGGCCCATGTAGAAATATGACAGTGACACAGATGAGCTGACCCCATCTTCTTGATGTTATTTGATCTCCCAGAACTTAGAGGCAATCAGAATAATGGGAGTTCCATAAAAAATTAAATTCATGTATAAAAATTAAACTTAGTTATTTGCACAACTAGAGGCTCTTACTTGAAATTGGGGACCAGGCATATTTGCTCACTCCTGTAAACCCAACATGTTGGGAGGCCCAGGGGAGAACTGCTTGAGGCCAGGAGTTCGAGACCAGCCTGGGAAACATAGTGAGACTCCATCTTTACAAAAAATGAAAAACTAGCTGGGCATGGTGGCATGCACCTGTGGTCCCAGCTACTCAGGAGGCTGAAGCAAGATGATCATTTGAGCACAAGAGGTAGAAACTACAATAAGCCATGATCTTACCACTGCACTCCAGTCTGGGTGATAGAGTGAGACTCTGTTTTAAAGAAAAGAAAGAAAATAAACAGACACACACACACACAATTTGGAGCTTGATATGGTTTGGCTCTGTGTCCCCACCCATGTCTCTTGTTGAACTGTAATTCCCCGTGTTAGAGGAGGGGCCTGGTGGGAGGTGATTGAATCACAGGAGCAGAATTCCCCCCTTGTTGTTCTCGTGATAGAGTTCTCACAAGACCTGGTTGTTTGAAATTGTGTAGCACCTCCCGCTTTGCTCTCTCTCTTTCTCCTGCCAGCCATGTGAAGACATGCTTGATTCCCCTTCACCTTCACCATGATTGTAAGTTTCCCGAGGCCTCCCCAGAAGTGGAAGCCTGTATAGCCCACAGAACTGTGAGCTTATTAAACCTCTTTTCTTTATCAGTTACCCAGTCTCAGGTATGTCTTTATAGCAGTGTGAAAACAGACTAATACAGATCTGGCATGTATCTATTTGATATAAATAAATAAACAAATATGTTTATATAAATATATCATATAAAAATATATCAAGGCTAAGATATGTAGCCTTGTATATAAGATATATATCTTATAAGCTGTATGTATATACACACATATATGTATGTGTATATACATTTATACTTAGAAAGTATATATGTGTATATGAAAGTAGGTATATATATACACACATATACATGTATACATACACATATATCAATATATACTTTCTAAGTATAAAGATAATGGTGCTTATCTTTAGGGAGTAGAACAGGAGGATAGTAGCGGGGAATATGAACTTTTACTTTCCCCTTGGAAACTTCTCTTAAGTCAAATAGTTTTGTAATTTATTCATTTATTCCACAAAGTATAGATTATTTTGTGAAAATGTAGTTAACAGTTAACAAGGAACATACTAAAAACAAGCTAGAAAAACTACTTAATGTAATTTTTTGTAAGTTCTAGGAGAGTAACAAAAAGAAGGAAGATTCAGTAGGAAAGGAAAGCAATGAAGAAGCCAAGAAAGAGACAAGGAACCCTGGAAAGAGAGTCAGCAAAGAGAGAAATAGAAACATTAATTTCATGTATGAGTAGCATGAGGTCAAGGGCTTCAAATCGTGTGTCTGTAGCCTCCACCTTTTTAGAGAAACACCGGAAAACTGACGTGCACCTAAAAGGAGACAAACTGGTTAGTGAAGGAACTGGGAGACATATTGACTAAGGAACTACAGCAAGTTCATGTTCAAATGAGATCAGAAGCCTTATAAAGACTGTAGCCACCTGCAAGACCTTCAGATGGCAGAAAATTAGACTAAATTTTGCCCCGGTAGCAAAGAATTAAAACTGAAGAGTAATTAAAAGAAAGTGAATTATATTCTCTATAAAATTTTCTAAAAATTAGAGACATTAATTTAAAACCAATTCTATACATCTTTCAGAGTAGTTGGAAGTATTGTGAACTATTAATCCTTTGGCTTTGCTTTGGACTTGATGGCAAAAGTAGCTGCATGCAGAAGTAATACTGTTAAGAATGTCACATAAAACGTGAAGGTGAGCCCAGCATGAAGGAGCAGTCTCTTCCAGTGGTGAGGTACAATCATTCTTATCTTTAATAAGAAAGAAGAAGTCATAGCTGTAACAACATCTAGATGACCAGGGTTGCCTGACTTTAGGAACCCAAGAGAAAAGTTTCTGCATTCATGTATAAAATTTATGCATGAATTTATTATTCAGATAAGAAAAGGTATAGACACAAGGGTACTCCCTTCCTGCCTTCTTTTTTTCTTCCCCTTACTATCACTGTCTACCACTAAGCAACAGTAAGATTTAACTCTGAATATCAACCCTAAACATTTATGTGTTAGCACAATCTCCCACATATTAGATTTCTGATGGCTAAGAAGTGTTTAGAATAGCTTAGCATGAGAATCAAATGTCAGCATTATTTTAGAATGGCAAAATAATAAGCCAAGAATATTCTAGTCCCAGTTCTCTTCCAAACATTAATCACAAGAAATGAGCCCTTCTAATTATCTTTAATTTAGGAAGAAATTCACAAATGACAGCTTGTTATTTGCAGGTCAGAATCAAGACAGCATGTACTATTTAACAATCTTGAAGCTGGAAAATTAAACTGAAGGAAAAAAGAGAGAATTGATAGAAATCAAATGCGCAGTTGTTTTCTTAGTAGGTATTTGCAGGAGCACTTAATAACTTAATTGCAAAGGTCCTTTTTAAAACCAGAAAGACTATTCACACCTATCTGTTGTGGCATTAAATAGTCATTCAGAGTCTTGGTTAAGTGTTTTCTGTTGGAATCAGAGGCAGCATCAAGAGTTCTCGAATAAGAATCCTAAGAATAACTAGTTGTGACTATTGTTATATATCTTTGTGCAATTATATACACTTTATTGTATATTAACTTGTTTAATCATCACAAGAACATCCTCTTTCCTGAATATCCTCTTTGTATTACAGGTGAGGAAACTGAAGACTGGAAAGGTCAATGTCTTAGCCAGAGCCAAGTGGCTAATTCAGAGTTTAATACACATTTGATCTCAAACCCATAAACATTCCCCTTTCAACGGAGCCTGCCTCTCTGAAATACTGGTTCTGTCATTAATTATTAATTATTGATTAATTTCTCTTGATTTTCATTTTCTCCTATGCAAAATTCTGTTACTGAATTACATGAATTCCAAGACCTCTTTCTGATCTAACATTCCATCATTCCTCTATTAAAAAGCTTATGTAAAACCAGAAACAAAGTATGTAATTGTAATGCCAAATTTTTAAACATAGTTGATTATTCCTCCTTGAAAATGTAAATACTACATGAAGAATCAACAAATAAACCATTAGGTCAATATTTATTGAGAGCTGACTCTTCTTCAGAGTGATGCTTGTAATTGACATGGAGAGCAAAATGATTTTAAAAAGTAAGATTCCTGCCTTCTTGGAACTCAGAGACAAATGCGGGAAATGGGCAAGTCAAGAAACAATTTCAAAACCATATGTTAAGTCAAGAAACTGGACATGAAAGAAGGGGCATGTAATAGACACCAACAAGTCAGGAAAGGCTCTCTGTCAAGGGAAATGCACTTTGAAGGACAAGAATTTAACCAAGTAAATAAATAGGAGAGAGAAAGATGTTTCATGCAGAGAGAGTTGCAGATATGAGATATGAGAATAAGCTAATAGCCTAATTTGCATACAATAACCATTCAATTCTCAAAATGTACCCTTATTTGCCTAATGTGGCAGAAGTAATCCTAAATAAATCTGTTCTACAGTTGAGCAAAATGATTTTCATAGATGTTAAGCAACATGACTAAGCCATCCCTGTTGTGACTGATTCCAAAGTACAAATCCTATGCTCTTTTCCTCTAATCATCACCATCTCCCTGTACATTTCTTTCTTGAGGCTCAGCTGACCATAAATAATCCTGGTGCAGAACACTGGACAACTAACGCAAAACTGAGTAATTCAAAAGAAAATATATGAATATAAAATCAGCTGAAAAACCAGATATGAACCTGCTTTAAACCCATTTCGAAAGCCCTCCTTGAATCTGTTCTGCAGCCATGTATTACAGGCATCACAAAGAAAGAGATGCTTTTCTGCAAAATGGTAGCTGGAGGAGAATTTTCTCTCCTCTGAGGTTTAAGAGGGCAAGCCATCATGCCCACAGAACTGTAAACATACAATCAGGCTCATTTTGTATAAGCAAAAGCATAATTTTATGTGTGGCTTGGCAATCATGATAATTTATGAATTTATATATTTTAACAAGGTATTACCCACCTATAATTTTTGAACCAAAAAGGTAAAACTTGAGTTTTCCTTACTAATTTTTACATCTCAAGGAAGGAATGATTTCTTCAAATGTCCACTTCATGACATTCACTTCTTAACTGCATGTTTGGTGTATTGAGAAAACCTAAATACCCTTAAGTGTGTGGATTTTATATTTAGCAGGTGTTTCCCCAGACTTGACTGGGTTTGGAAAAGGTGTAGACATACGAGTCACATTCTCAATGATAACAAAAATAAGAACAATACTCCAGAGATTAAGACCCCGAAAGAGAGATGCAGATTTTTCCAAAGTTTGAAGCTATAAAAGCAATTTCTGTCAGAACATGTTAACAACTTTAAAGCAGATGTTAGACAACTGTGCTCTCTAAATATTCTGACTACCCTGCTTCAAGAAACTGTTCATCTGCTTAATTGTTAAGTCCTTTCTTAGAAAGTTTCAGAGTCTCACCATGTGACATGGCTCCCTCCTCCAACCTCAGATTATGACAAACATATTCAGTTGAATATTTCACCTAGCAGCATTTTTCCATTTTAATGGCATAAGCCATACTTTTGGTGTTTCTCCTAACCCAACTGAAGTGGCCTATATAGCTATTCTTCTAGAGGAAAAGTTCTCTTTCCAAAAGGAACTCTGATGCTAATTCTTTTGTTTTTAAAGATGAGAAGATAATGTTTTCCACTAAAATAGCAGTAATTTGGTTAAATTTAATTAATTTTGAAAAGTTGTCATAAACAACAAACATTAATCAAAGAGATAAATAAAGACTTAAGGTGGGAAATACGTTCATTCCATAAAACCCTTCATTCAACATTTGTTTAATAAACATTTACTGAGTGCTATGTGCAATGATCTGTAGTAAATGAACACTGAAGAACCAGACAGACACGGACTCTTGAAGTTACAGCCCAAAAGGGATGACTGGTCATTTCTTAAAGTCTACATACACAGAACTTGCAAGAGATGATGTGAAGAAAATAAGTGAGTGCAATGGCAAAGAGGAGTAAGGGGCATCTGCTTGGAGAAGATGATAAGAAAAACTGCCTGTAAAGAAGTGATATTTCCAGCACTTTGAGAGGCTGAGGCAGGCTGATCACAAGGTCTGGAGATCGAGACCATCCTGGCTAACACGGTGAAACCCCATCTCTACTAAAAAATACAAAAAACTAGCCGGGCGAGGTGGCGGGCGCCTGTAGTCCCAGCTACTAGGTAGGCTGAGGCAGGAGAATGACGTGAACCCGGGAGGCGGAGCTTGCAGTGAGCCGAGATCCGGCCACAGCACTCCAGCCTGGGCGACAGAGCGAGATTCCATCTCAAAAAAAAAAAAAAGGTGATATTTGGGCCAAGACCTATAGAATGGGAGAACAGTGTCCACTTGAAGATTCATGTCAGAGTGTCACTGGTAGGAGAAGTCTCTGAGGAGGGAAAGGAGAAGCTGAAAGGAAGCCACCCCAGACAAACACAGATTTTCTCTCTGTGTTACAAAGGGTGTTACAAAGTCCACCCTTTGTAACAATGAACAGCAACCTTCGCCTAGAGAAAAGGGTGCTGAACCACTCACACTCCCACAGCTGGATGTGCAGCCCCCTTCCTCCTACTCTCTCTTAAGCAGGGTCTCCTTTCAAATGGAAGCCTTAAATGCTGTGTTGTGGTACCTCAGGAAACATCCACCACGCCCTCAGGACTTGTCAGGGAACGTAAATACTGATTCATCTATAACTCATTTGCTGACCCTTTAGAAAGTAGACCAACAGACAAACTTTCGACTGACAGCTGGTTTGTTTTGTTTTGTTTTGTTTTTAAATCTTGCTTATTGGTAACAGAGTCATCAAAAATGCTATGTTTGGGCAGGGGCCTGTGGCAGTTACTTGATGAAATGCAGCAATTGACACTTAGAATCAAAACACCATTTAAAAGCCTTTAGAAAAACACATATGGACATGATACTCAATAGTTGTCCAAAAAAAATTGCTTATTCATAAGTTAGTACCAGTCTGAGTTGGATTTAGAGCATTTCAAAACCCTTTGTATTCCAACCGATGTATGACTTATACACTCAACATTGCTGAAGCATCTGTGCCCTATAAACTACTTCTTTGGTATCACAAGTGAAGGTAGATAATAGATATATGAAATAATTCTCAGAGTGCATTTAACTTTTCTTTTTTAACTGGAGACAGTTGCTTGTAGTCTTACCAAAATGTGTTAACATAAGCCAGCAGGGAAAATTAGATAAACCATAATGATAATTGCAACTGAATTTATCCAT